TATGACTTGTTAACGATATGTGCACATGTGTGAGAAATCAAAAACAAGGCATCAAAGTCCAACGAATGATTAAGTGCAGAATCATATCCATCAGGGATAGCCTACTAACCAAATCTCTTTGCAAGTATAAAAAGCCACCTTTAACTCATTTTGAAGTAAGAAACAAAGCAAAAGTTTAAAACCCTGGAGAAACGTTCCAAGATCCTCATTTCTCTCTAGACATCATTTTAGTTTTCCCTCAAGCTTTCAAGGTTATTCAAGCTCTTCACTTCCCATCCTTGACATAATATTGTGAGATTATTTCTTTTCTCCTACACCAAAGCTTAAACCTTTAGCAAGTAACCTTTTAAGACAAATCTTTGCTATTACTCCTTTGTACACACATTTGTAAAAGTTCTAACTTAACTTTGAAAAGTTAGTTTAGGTTAGTGGTTGAGCTTGGTAAAACCCACTTTGTAGGTTGTACTTGCTCTAGTTAAAAGGCATATTTGTGGTTTCGCTTAATCCCGTGAAAAAACATTATAAGGGTTATTTCTTGATGTCTTAAAAAAGTGTTTGTAAGGGTTTAATGCTTGATCTCGTTAAAAAGCACATTTCCTTAAATAGATTGAAAACTCCTTGGTGAGCCCAAGGAGAGGACATAGGTATTTAAGAAAACCAAACCTCTATAAAAGTACTTGTGTCTTGATTTACTTTTGTGCTTTTAGGTTTATTGTTGAAATTCGTTTTTAAAAAAATCACTTGCTTTGCTTTTGACACAAGAAGAAAATTTACTTTTAAAAAAGAGCTATTTTTCATTGGGCTTGCAAAAAAAATTTTTAAAATACTAATTCACCCCCTCATGGTATTTATTGCATTGAGCTTACTACATTAACAATCTTCTCGCAAAATTAAAGAGACTTGCTTTTCCAAATCATGTGAAATGAACCACTGTTGCTTTTGAACTTATCCATACTAATACATGAGGCCCTTACAAAGTTCTCTCAATTGATGGTTATCATTATTTCCTCACAATAGTGATGATTTTACTCATTTTACATGGGTATTTTATATGAAATTCAAGTTAGAATTTGCTTGTATTTTACCCTCCTTTTATAACATGGTTCTTACACAATTTTCTACCAAAATAAAGATCATACGATCTAATAATGATTTAGAATTCAAACTTGTTAAAGAATACTCATCCAAAGGAATTCTACATCATTTGTCATGTGTTGATACTCTACAACAACATGTAGTGGTTGAAAGAAAACACCAACACTTTTTAGTTATGGCAAGATAATTATTATTTCAATCTTTCTTACCTGTCAAATTTTAGGGTCACGTTGTCCCTGTGGTTGCCTACCTTATCAGTAAGGTACCCACTTAAAACTTGAAAAACAAAACTCCCTTTGAGATGTTATTTCATAAACCACCATTTTATCCACACCTTAAGGTATTCGGCTCATTATGCTTTACTTCCACTTTAGCTCACAATAGAAAGAAATTTGAAACTAAAGCTAAAAATTATATCTTCGTTGGTTACCCTTTAAGTGTTAAAGGATATAGATTATATGATCTTGACAAACAAGAGTGTTTCACTTTAAGGGATGTTATCTTTAGAAGCATATTTTTCCTTTCAAGCATAAGCATGCAAATTATAACTTAGACTCTACTATCATTATCACATCTAATCCATCCCATAATTTTTCGGATTTACCACCTTGTAGCCATAGTTATGCTAACCTTAGTTGTTTTCTTCCTATACCCTTAACCAATAGGATTCCCATAATAACACTGATGTACTTACCCCTTTCCTTGATGAAACTTTTCATCACAATTCTACCAATGATTCATCCTTCACTAATGACACTTCTATCCCTAGCACTATCACCAATGCTCAATATGTTGAGCCACCCTCTTCACCTATACACCTTAGAAAGAGCATTAGGATTCGCTGCCCTTCGAAATACTTGGATGTTTATTAATATCATTTACCTTCTGACAATCCTAACATAAACTATGTCTCCACCATTTTTCCACACATAAATATCACTACATATCCAATTTCCAAATGATTGTCAACTATCAAACTCTCACCTTCAAACAAGGTTTTCACTGCTAATCTTAAAGTCACTCCTAAACCATTTAACTACCATCAAGTTGTTTAATATTTTCAATGGAAAAAAGCCATCCAACAAGAATTAGAGGCTTTAGAAGCCAATAACACCTAGATAATGGTACCTTTTCCACATGATAAACCTTCCATAGAATGTAAATGGGTCTGTAAAATCAAGTTACTCTCAGATGGTACTGTTGACAAATAGAAGGCCAAATTTGTTGCCAAAGGCTACAATCAAAGAGAAGGATTTGATTTCATGGAAACCTTTAACCTTATTGTCAAACATTTTACTATTAGAAATTTCTTAGCTCTGACAATTGTAAAAGGATGGTAGTTTTCCCAATTAGACATTGCCAATGCTTTTCTTCATGAGGCAGTGTATATGGATCTTTTGCAAGGCTGCATAGTTAAAGGGGAATATAAAGGTCAATCAAAGTTAGTTTGCAAACTTAAAAAACCACTCTCTATTCTCAAACAAGCATATAAACAATGGAACTATAAGTTCACTAAAAGCTTGCTCAGATTTGGTTTTCAACAATCGAAGTCAGATTATTCACTCTTTATGAAGAGGAATGACAATGGTGACTTTGTAGGATTATTGTTATATGTTGATGATATAGTCATTGGAGGATCCAATAAGTCTTTCGTAGATTTCATAAAGAAGTACTTGCAAACTCAATTTAAGCTTGAGCACTTGGGGATTCCAAAACTTTTCCTTGGATTAGAAATGGCAGGATCAATTAAAGGTATTTCCATTTCTCAAAGTAAATACACTTTAGACTTGTTGAATGACTATGGTTTATTAGGAACGAAACCAATTACAACTCCAGTGGACTATAATTCCAAATTGACACAAGCAGATCATGAGGAGGTAGTTTTTTATATGAGTAGTTATAGGCAACTCATTGGGATATTATACTACATAACATTTATAAGACTTGATATTGCCTTTGCAGTATAGAATTTATCATGATACCTGGAGAAGCCAAAGCAATGCCACTTACAAGTAGATTATACAGTATTAAGGTACCCCAAGGCAGCACTTAGACAAGGTATGTTCATCTCATTTAATTCAGATTTGAGCTTAATTACATACTTAGACAGTAACCATGTTGGTTGCAATGATACAAGAAAATTTGTCTCAAGCTAACTACTTTTCTTGGCAAATCCTTAGTCAGTTGGAAAGCTAAGAAACAAGTTATGGTGTCTATAAGCTCCACTAAAGCTGAATATAGATCAGTGGCAGCCACTTGCTATGAAATACTATGGCTAATATCCTTATTGAAAGATATTGGAATTAATCACAATAAAGCTGCTATGAAATACTATGGCTAATATCCTTATTGAAAGATATTGGAATTAATCACAATAAAGCTGGTAAATTGTACTGTGACAATCCATCAACGATCCACATTTGCAAGAATCCCACATTTCACAAAAAGACCAAACATATAGAAGTTGACTACCACTTCATACGAGAAAAGATCCTTGCTACTCCCAAGAATGCACATATTACAATGCAGATTGCAAATTTACTCACAAGGCTTTGCTTCCAAGACAATTCAAAACACTACTGGGTAAGATAGGCATTATCAACATACATGCCCATCTTGAAGGGAAGTTTAAAGCATCTTAATATAGATTAGACCGTAAATAATAGATTTATACAAATGTAATTAATATGTGTAATTAGACAATTAAAGTGGGGATAAGAATGTAAATAGACAAAGCATTATAGATATGTATTGCAATTGTAACAAATGGTTGGGTTTGTAAAAATGTAATACAAGCAAATCATTTTTCTCAGCCTATCTGTCCTTATCTACTATCTCTTTTTCATCTTTCTTTTTGTCAAGTTTGAAACACCAAACTTATATATACGACATGACATATTGATACATTATAATAATAATTACGTGACATTTTTGTTTTTGAGGTTTGTCAATTAACCTACTTGAAGTGTTGATATGTTTAATTGAATACTCAGGTGTGACAAATACACTTACCACGAAGGCATTGCAAGAATCATCTTTGATCCAAGATCTTACTAAGAAGGTTATGGCATCCATTCATTCCTATTAACAATAGCCATCCTGGACAAAAGGCCTAACAATACATCCTCACTCCTTGAAGTGGCCACCAACGATATAGTATCAACTAATCTATTGCCAGCGTCACCTTACACCCACACACTCACCAGCAATTGAAGGCAAACTCTCTTTCTATCTCAGTATTCCCCTCTAAAATTTGTGCACTAATTATCTTGCTATTCTACTAGGTCTCAACACGTGGACATCAAGGGAAACACTAGGAGTTGCAGCTTGACTGGCAACGAAAGCATTGGTTAAGTCCAAAGTTACCTTCTCGACAGACTTTGGCCATTGGCCGCGCTTGGAAGCTAGTGACTCATTTTATTGACTTTTTTACTCATAAAAGATACTGTACATTAATTAGGGTCTGTTTTGACTCTAGCATTTCTCATCATTGAAAATTTAAATTTATTTGTAGACTTGAACCAACGTAAACATCTAAATCTTTTATGAGTAAAGAGTTGGTACAACAAAAGCGTTATGTAATTAGATGAAATAAAATGCTACGAATACTATATGCTACGAATACTACATTCATAAAGGATAAGGTGAGTCTTAGCGGTTTATAAATAAAGACTTCTCCAAGACCCATGACAAATGTTGCCTTGGAGAACTAATGCGGGAAAAGAAAGATAAGTTTAGCCTAGCAAGATTCTCTACAATCACATCATCCGGGAACATAACAAAACCTTAACATTCCAAATGAAATATAACACAATCCAACCAAGGATGATAGTGAACATAATTTGTCATTTTCTATAAATGTTGTGTTTAATTTGCAATATATGAGGGCTTCCCTCCCAAAAAAATTAAGCAACCAACCAAGACGACAAAATCCATATATTATTTAATTTGAACATAATATTCTACATACACAAAAACTTATACCACTCTTATACATGCATAACACAATGAAATTACAATATAAGTAATGCTGCAGTTTCAAAGAGTAAAATAGATATTGCCCCAGCAATCCATTAATATCCAACATGGCTAACACATAATATTGTAGAACACAGATTTGTAGGGTCTTAACACACCCCTGTTTTCTTGGCATTCACAAAACGCCTCCAGGTCCTGGCAGCCTCTTTTATAATCTCTCTCTCAGTCTTTTTAGCAGACTTTGCACCCCTATTTTCTTCTTGCACGGAGTCAACATGCGCAACTTCAATGGCCGTACGACTTGGAAGCAATTCTAGTTCCTTCACAACCAGCTCAATATGTGAGACAAGTCTCTCTGCCAGGCCGCGACTGAAGTCCTCCCTAACAACAACACGGAGAACAGCAACATTTTGGGCATCTGCAGGCATTGTATAAGCTGGAACGATCCAACCGAACCTTCGCAAGTTCTCAGATATCTCAAATACAGTGTGTTTACTGCTGTCTTTTAGAGCAAAAGCCACAAGGGGAACACCCACATCTTTGGAGACAATCTCAAACCGTCCTATTTTCTCTATCCCTTCCTTCAGAATTCTTGCATTCTCAATGCAGTTTTCAATGATATTCTTGTACCCCTTTTATGAACAAAAATTAGACAAACTTAGTAAGAGATGGAAAAGACAGTAAACTTATGGGCATTGCAACAATTACTAGATGGTATGGCCTAATGGTCTCAACTCTCAATCTAGTTCCTCAGATATGCCTGGAAAACAAGAGTCAAGCTGAAGCTCATAATTTGAATGATGTAGTTCATATCATGGTTGAGGAAGAAGCTCAAGAGGTTCACGACATTAAGGATAGATTTCCAATAGTGGTGGTCCTGTGGGCATCTTCAAAGCAGTTGCTTCTCTATCAGAAAGATTAAAAGCTTTGAAGAATTAGAAGTTGAGAAGCATGGCAAAAAATCTGACAAATCAGTGCAACACGATCAGCCTGAAGAATTGAATACCCAACAAGCAGAGTTTCTAATTGGAAGAGGTTGGGGAGATGGACTTGAGAAGGTTGAGATCATGCAAGCAATAGAGGATGCTAGTGATGAGGTACCTAGTCAAACATTCTATGTGATTTATTTTCCCTGGATATGGAGAGAAAATTAGAGGCTATCAAAGTATAGGAGTTTTGTGAATGGGCTATTTTACCTATTGACTTGATTCTTTTAAAATGTAAGTGCCATTGACAATGTTGATGCTGCCAAACAATTCTATTGCTAAGAGAGTTCTTCATGGATCCATTTAATGCTTCAAAGATCAAGTTTGAGCTTTCTCCAACAAGAAGAGATTGATGCGACAGAGGTTGATGATTATGAAGAGATTGGTTGCGTACTTTAGGTCTCCATTGCAATTTCTAATATTTAGAACTTTTTTTGAAGGTGAATACAAATGCGTATTAGACTTGGGGTACAAAAAGGGAGGTAGCTCTCACTCATTCCAAAAACCCCACTCTCTCCTACTCAAGTTTGAACCTGGGATTCCAGCTGTTTGAATGTACCCAAATGGACCCATGTTATTTGAGGGTATTTAGGTTATCGAAGTTATTCTACATTAACTAGTTTTACTTGCTTACAAACTACTACACTTGGGAGTTGTACACTAACACAAGCACTACGTACAGTTTCAGTAGTTTATGTTGATGATAAAAATTAAATCATTGAGAATTGTCTCAGTCTAAACAAATGGGCTTTCACATGTACCAAAAAACCAAAGAAAAAAAGAAAATACTTGCTGAACTATGAGATACCATGCAATCGGTTTCCATGCGTAGTGAGCATAGAGAATTTTTTATTCTCCAGGAAAATGGTTCTTGAAAAAGAAATGAAATCAAAGGAAAATCAAAGGGGCAACCAGGTACTTATGCTAAATTAAACTGAAACTATCCTTTCCACATCTCCGATAGTCTGTTTAAAAAATTTAGCAGAAATTACCTCAAAGCCAAGCCGAATAAGCTGATAATATTGAGCTATAATTTGACTAGAGCCTGCCACAATGGTGAGGGTGAAAAGAATTATGAACATTTAAGCATCAGTGCCAGTGTACTTGTAACATTATTTGTTCTAAAAGTAGCTAAAAAAGACAATTCTGAATGGAAGACATGAATTCTTAAGAGTAAGTAATTCAAAACTGTAAAAAGTAAATTACTGTCCACAATAACGAACAAGGTTAAGTTATTACTTGTAACATATGTTTATGATTTATAGAAGCCTTGATGAAATACTTTATCTATACTTCATAGATAAACTATGAATAATGAGGGGAATATGATAAAAATTTTCTTACCACATCAAAGACATAGGCCACCAAAGCGTAGAACCATAGCAGATTGTTACTTGAAATTGTTTAACCAGCACACAGTTGGATAGAGCATATCCAGGCATTTTGTTGTATCAGCATTACTCCGAAAGCAAGCTTAATTACAAAATTTTTGGTAATTTATATTTTGGAGTTCAAGTTATCGTAATCCTATCAAATGAAATTAATCTTGTACCTGTTTTGAGTCAGAAGGAAATTAATCCAAATAAATTTTATTGCTATGTTTTTGGCTGCATCCAAACAAGGTTTCTAATGGATAAAGCAGACATAACACTAAAGTTAAACTAGTGAAGTTATGAATGTGATTCCAATTCCCACTCCAATCACAAAACAACTTTTTGTGCTTCAACAGCATGCTACAAACAAAAGCAGCCAATAAAAAATAAAAAAGGTGATAATGAAATAACAAATTTCCGTGAAACTTGTCATGAGGATCCTGTTTCTTAGCTTAATAAGTTATGAAGTCATTACCACAACCCATTGCATGGTAAAAACAGTGCCTGTGCTACCAATCTGACCACAAACCAAACTCAAGGCATACAATCTGTTGGACTTGAGCAACATCAATAGAAAAATAAGACCTAGGGGGGTATTATCCTAACTGTCCCATTCACTTCAGACAAAAAAAAAAAAAAACCAAAAG